GCATGACCCAACAAGCTACAAACTAGCAGCGTTTAGAGCATTAATTAAAAGAGCATACACTCATTGTAGCAGGATTTATGATACACGTAAAGAGCTGGAGTACATCGAAAAGCTAGCAAGAGATGTAGGAATTAAGGAGAATAAAATAAAAGCCTTAATACGAGCAGAAAAAGAAGGCAATAAAAGTAAAGTTAAAAGAGAGAAAAAGGAGTTCACTGTAATGGAATACAGGGCTCAGTTAAGTAACATTTACAGAAAAATAGGAATAGAAAGCAACAAGAAAATAGCATATAAGAGAAACACGACAATATTTCAAATGCTAAGAAACGACAAAACACCCGTTGACAGGAGGCTGATCCCAGGTGTATACAGAATACCGTTGTATGATAGGAGGCTAAATAAGGAGTTATATTATATAGGAGCCACTAAAAGATCATTAAATGAAAGATTGAAGGAGCACAAAAAGAATGTAAGCTTTAAACAACCAGTCACGGCTTTGGCCAATTACGCGATAGCAGATCCAACAGAGATCGACATCAAATGGAGCAAGGCAGATGTCATACAAAAAGTGAAAAATATAAAACATCTAAAATATGCAGAAGCCTGGCACATTTACAAGAGCAAAGAAAAAGGGCGTAATATAAATTTCCGTGAATCGAACAAAATAGCGTCGGCATGGAAAGCGGCAACTTTAAAATTATAAAATTATATTTATGAGCATGCGCAATCGAGAAGAACGTGCAGTTTGGAATCTCCGTTATGCAAATTTGAAATATATTTCGATTGATAATTCGATCCTGATGAAGGTTTGTGAATCAGACCGAAAACGTTCGACAGATGTAAACTAGACTGCATTTTAAAGGTATAGTGAATTTTTGTTAAATAGTAATGCAGTTAGAGATAGAATGAATAGAAAATTGTTTTTTTCCCATGAAAAAAAAAAACAATTTTCTTATAATATATAAATATTTTATTGAATTATATATTGACCATTTTGGTCCAATTCCTGTTGCCATCTTTCTGGTAGTAGCGTGATTCCACATTTGTAAAAGTTTTGATCTTTGCTTACAAAAAACTGATCCAAGTGAATTTTCACATCCTCATTTGACATAAATGGTTTACTGTTTAAAAAATTTTGTAAAGACCAGAACAAGTAATAGTCCAAGGGTGCCAGATCTGGCAAATATGGTGGATGTGGTAGCACATCACATCCAAGCTGTAATAGCTTCTGATGAGTTACCAAACTTGTGTGAGGTCTAGCATTATCATGGTGAAACACTACCTTTTCTGTTGATCAATTCTGGCTTTTTTTGTTCGATGGTATCACTCAATTTGTCCAGTTGATGGCAGTACACTTTTGTATCAATTGTGGAATTGTCTGGTAGAAGCTCAAAAAAAAAATAAACAAACTATTCCCTTAAAATCCCACCAAACAGAGAGCATCACTTTTTCTGATGAATATTTGCTTTCAAAGTGCTTTGAGCAGGCTCATCTCTTCTACCCCATGATCGTTTCAAGTGATCATTAATAGTTGAATTCAACAAATTTAATCTCTTAGTGATTTCTCATGTTGTTATTTGGTGGTTTGCTTCAATCAATACCTTTATTTTGTCTTCACAGCTTCAACTGGCCTTCCAGAATGTGGTGCATTCTCAATATCAAAATTTCCAGAAAAAAATTTTGTGAATCAGTTTTGGCATTGTTGTTCTGTCAACCAGTCTTCTCCATACACATCACAATTTTTTTCTTGCTTGAACAGCATTTTTAATTTTTTGGTAATAAAAAAGCAAAATGTGCCGAAAATGCTGCTTTTGATTTTCCATATTTGATGGGAGACCCAAAAAAAAAAAACAATTGCAAAGAATGAAACAAAATTTTTTACAAATAAGCCTTGAAATGTCAGCTGTCAAAATATATAATGACAATGCAATTTAGAATGAAATTGGCAGGTAAAAATGCAACTAATCTCTGTGGTGGTAAAAAAATGNTGCAACTGTGAAGTGTTTATTATTAATGTATCAAGACCATCTGAAGATGCAACTGTGAATGGCTGGATCAGATCTTTTTTCTTAGATTAAACACAGTTATTATAAAACATAAATTATTATAAATCATGCAAAATATTTTTAATTTTTTTTAAGTTTTCTATTCCTCTTAATCACTATTTGTGGAACAATATTTATACTTTATGAAAATAGTGCTGAGTACCAACATTTATACATAAGTCTACTGTATACTGACAATACAGGATTTGTGCAGCAAATAATTTTCAGTTTTTAGATTAGTATCAAAAGGGGTTGGGCCAAGAAGAAGCAAAGTGAAGGAGGATGGGAAGGTTGAGCCTACTCATGAGAGGTAGAATGAACAGAGTAAAGAGGATTTGTATGGAAGGTTGGCCCCTCACAGAGTTGAATTGTCATGAAATTTCTGTTATGAATAGTTTATGTTGAGAACAAGTGAGCCAGGCCTATAGGGCGAGTGAACAAAGTGAACTACATAATCATGAAATTGGAATTTTTTTCTGTGGGACATTCAAAAAAATTGTGATGTTCAACTGATGTAAAAGCAATTTTTTTTTCTGTTCAATTTAAATGGAGAAGATTCGAAAGAAAAGTTTTTTGTGTGTTTTTGTGTGAATAAAAACTGATTTTTTTCCAATTAATTTGAGTGTGGAAGGACATTTTGAAAAGGACCCAAATTTAGTTTCTTAGGAAATTCTCACTTGGAATTAGACACATGAAAATATATGTATTATTGAAATTTTTGTTATGAATAGGCTATATTGGGAACAAGTGAGTGAAGCAAGCAAATTGATTATTTTCCATCAACATTAATTTTTGAAAATTCCAAATATAAAGTTATAAGTGAAAATTACTTTAATTTAATTAATTTATTTATTGGATATAAAAATTAATATTATAGATTTATTTAAGTAATCAGGGTTCTTTCAAAGAAAAATTCTGGAAATTTTAGTATATTAGAACAGTTTGATTTTATGTAATATGAAACATTTAAATTATTTTTTTTAATTGTATTTTTGGTAACTCAGTGGTTCTTAACCAGTGTTCCAAAAACCTACCTCAATTGTTCCACAAAAGAAAAGATTAAAGTTTTTATTCAAATTTATTCCCATTGCTATATTCGTAGATAATCCCATTTTTCTATATTATTCAATATATTAAAGTTTATTAGTTTATTGCTTCATTGTTTCCTGAGAATAGTGAACATAGAATTGTTTATCAATTTTTGAATGTATTGATGCTAATGCTCTGTGTAATAAAAAGTATATTAATGGTGGTGTTCTGTGGCCTCAGAAAGGTTGAGAACAACTGTGGTAACTTGTAAGGATCATAATTGAAATATCCTTTTTAAATAAATTAAAAATAATTATTCTTAATTATTATTAACTTTTAACCAAAATATTTAACTTACATGAACCTTTAACTGCTGCGTAATACGAAATCTCACTTAGAAATCAAACGTTTTCCTAACCCCTTCTGGGTTCTCCCTCAGGCAAAAAACGAGCTGGATTTTCTAAAAAGAATATGAACATAAAACTTTTGAAGCTATTTGAATGATGTAAAATTCAAATGTCCAGAGTTTTTAACATATTCATTCACGTGGTGTTTAGAAATGTTTTAAACTAACAGTCCACATGGATTGTAAAACAATGTTCTAAAAATAACGACTGGCATGCAGTGTAAAAATTATGAATCCATTCACAAAAAAATCTGCATTAAAAAATCTGGACATTTGAATTTTACATTGTTCGAATAGCTTCAAAAGCTTTATGTTCATATTCGTTTTAGAAAATTCAGCTCGTTTTTTTGCCTGAGGAAGAATCCGGAAGGGTTAGGAAAATGTTTGATTTCTAAGTGAAATTTCATATTACGCAGTAGTTAAAGGTTCATGTAAGTTAAATATTTTGGTTATACACCTGCTTTGTGGATTGAGTTTATATTAACTTTTAATTATATACTTAAAAAATTTATAATTAAATGGAACATTAAATTTAGATTTGTGAAACAGTATTAACTTTTAAATTGTAACAATCTTTTATTGATTGATATAATTTTTAACTTTTTGAAGTGATTTTAAAAAGTTGAAGAGCATCTTTTATAGAATTCAAAATAATTATGGTTATTGGATTTACAGTGGTACCTCGGTATACGTCTGCTTTAGAATACGTCCTGTTTGGATGAAACAAATTTTGCTCGGTATACGACTTTTGTTTGGTATACGACTTAATTCAACTAAACGCGCTATGTATGAACAAGTAGCACTATCGGTGTATTAGACCTGACTAGATGTTTGCGGTGCCACGGTTTATAACTTTTTTAAATTTTAAGTAAAATTTTATTATTTTATTAATCATGAATTGCAAAAAGGCAAATGAAAAGAAACAGAAAACTAAAAAAAATCACTAGAATCACAATGGAACTGAAAAAAGAGATTGTTGAGAAATATGAAGGTGACGTGTGTTCGAGGTTTAACTGTTGCATACCATATTCCAAGAACGAAGATATCGACAATTGCGAAAAATAAAGACATTATTAAATCTGCTATCGTTGCGAAAGGAGTTAAATCAATTTGTAAACAGAGATCAAAGACTTCAGATGATGTTGAGAAATTGCTTTTGCTTGGATAACTGAAAAACAGTGTGCTGGTGACATCCTATCGGAAGAAATTATTTGTGAGAAAGCTAAAAAGATACATGCTGATCTCATGAAAAATCAAGCAGGAACTAACCAGGAAAGCGAGGTGTTTAAATCCAGCTATTTGTTTTTTTACACGAGAATGGATTAATCATTTTTACATTACTTCTTATGGGAAAGGTTGGTTTAGTATACGTCCTATTCAGTATAAGTCCAAACATCAGGAACGGATTAAGGTCATATACCGAGGTTCCACTGTATTTTGAAGGTATTTACTAATTCTAAAATTAAGAATAAATCATAATACAATATGTATAGTTTTTTAATATTGATGATGATTTTCAGAAGCAGACATTTTACATACAGAGGAATTTCAGTTTAATATTGAGAATTCAGATTCGAGGAGTGATTCACAATCTATTGTTTGTTCTCCATCTTATCATTCTCTTTGTTCTGAGAATTTTCCAATGCAAGAAAGGTAAGTTAATTCATAAATATAAAAATTAGATTACCGATGAACAGTAACTTTTTTGTAGTCCTTACAGAAGTGATCATGTACGAGCGAAAATTGTGTGGACTAGAGAGGGAAGATTAAAAGAAAAAAATATGGGATCTACTAGTAGTTCTATCGCACCAAGTAATGATAAACAGGTAAAGTGTAAAAAGTTGTTAGGGTACATTTCAAACATTTTGATCATATAGAGTGTCCAAAAAGTTACTGTGAAGTTACTGTGAAAACTTTGTATTGATTTTAATGTTACACTTAGCATTGCATATGAGACCCATAAGTTGTATATCCTGCATTTCCACTTTGCAGTACATAGTGTTCTGGTTTTTGGACAGTCTGTAGTCCAAAAACCAGTACACAAATATACACAAAGTACCAAAAACTGTAGTCCAAAAACCAGTACACAAATGTTCTGGTTTTTGGACTACAGTTTTTGGAAACTTCTTTGCTGGTCACATAATCTCCTGTGGAATTTGGCCTGTTTGGTCTATGGACCTCAGTTCCCTGGATTTTGGAGCCTCTGGGGAACATTTCCAGCATTTACTGGAGGAGAAACTGTAATATCATACATAAAATTTTACTTTTATTGGAACTTAACTGAAACCTTTTCCACAATAAATTTTCAGACATCATGTACAGGTAACCTCCGTATAGCACGGCACTTCTATAGCACGGATTCACTCTAACACGGTTCGAGAATTGGTACCACCCCCGTATAACACAGTACTGTTATAGCACGGATTTACTCTGACGCGGTTTGAGAATTGGGTAAAACCCTCGTACAACATGAAATGTAATAAATTTTTACATACTTAAGTAATAATAGTTCACGAAAATTATTATTTTCATGAACTATTAGTACTTAAGTATGTAAATTTTCTTTTCTCGCCTTTTGTCGATACACATGGTCCTTCTCGAAACTTGTTTCAACGTTGCCAGATCGCAACGCTTCTGCTTCTGATGTTGCCAGATGTTTTTCCCTTTTTTCATACTTGCTTTATTCTTCATAAGTGTTTAGCACCATATGAGGAAATTTATAAAGATCTTTTAACTAGAAGCAAGC